ATATGAGGAACTGACTCAGGAGCAAAAGGAAGTTTTCCCTAGGACAGTCCAAGCCTCCAGGGGATGATTACAGGTTAGATAGAGAAGTGTGCAAGTCTCCTCTCACCTGTGCTGTTGTCTGCCTCTTGCTCCTCCTCCCCATTACTCTGTCTTCTCTACTCTGTTAAACTCTTTCTTCCACCTTTTTTAGCTGTCCTGATAGATGCCTGTTTTGGAAAGACGACTGATTTCTGTGGTACTAATTCTGCAAATATAGCATATACAGTGTGCGAGTTATACATTTTAAAATATAGATCAGAATTAGACTGTAGGAAGGGTGCTTACATAATAGGCATAAATAATACATTTGGATAAAATACATTAAACTGCTAATGCAATTAATTAGGTTGAGACTTTGATCACACAAAAGCCAGACACTTCAAAGTTGCAATTCCAACAACAGCTGAATGGTGCAAACTTCATTACCTCAGGGTCAAACTGTACACCCTGCATGCATGTGACTTCCATTGACTTGATTTCCTGTTGGGACTGGGTGTCACACGTGCCATGGGAATTCAGGATATGGCTCTTAAACGCAGTTCAGCGCTGGGGCCTTGGAGCAAAGGGTAGATGCAGAGGAGATCTCCCAGGGCTGCAGAGGCAGGCAGCAAGGGTAGCACGATTGTTGGCAGCCGTACCAGCCTGCCGGTGCACAGGAGCCGTTCAGAGCGTGCAGTCTAGCAGGGGCGCCAGCCCCACAGACTCTTCTCCTGTGCCTAGGATACTCAGGGAGACAAAGGGAGAAGCATAGTGAGCATCAGAATAACATTCCTTTGAAAAGGATTACAAAATCACTGGCCAGATAACAAAATCCCTGTCCCTGAGTTCTGTAGCCCCACCTGCACAGACCTAACCAGCCAGTAGTCCTTGCATGCAAATATGAGGTGTGTCAGCCAGGTTAGCCCCCTTAGGTTTGAGGAGTAGCTTAGAGATCTGTTATTTCTGTTGGCAGGGAGGCTTACGCACAGCCATCTAAGCTAGCACAGGAGACATTGATTCAGCCCTGCCTGTGCTACACAAATCACCCATTTTATAAATGGTTTTGTCTAGCACAGTCCAGCCCTCAGTGCAGACAGGGCGTAATGTGACTAAACTCCTGCATCTTCGCAGGGGGTTAGACTAGATGACCCTTGCGATCCCTTCGAAGCCTATGATTCTATGAAAACCGCTTTTGCAAACACAGCGTGAGAGGAGGCAGTACCCCAGCACTGTTTAAATGCTCCGTGTTTATCGTTATCTTGTTATGATAGCAGGTGGGAAGGGCCCCCTCTCTTGCCCCATCTGTCCCCTCTCCATAGAGCAGCGTTTGAAAGGGCCCCCGTTCACCACTACCTTTTCTCTACACTGTTCCTTCCCACCTGTCTAATGGCTGTTTACAAACTGGCCTCACAGCCATGTTTATGAGCTGGCTTTAAACACAATTCCCTCTAGGCCGATTTACCACACTCTTTAGCCAGCTAGGTAGATGGGGCAGAAACAGTATTTTAAAAGCATGCACTAGGCTGAGTCTCAGTCCAGTGCTTTGGCCACAAGACCAACCTTGGTCTGACCCACATCAGACTGACCAACTGTCTGACCCGCCTCACTGTGGTAAACAGGTTTAGCAGAAGCCATGTATAAATCTGGTCTTTGAAGATAGCTGGGAGGCCAGTGCAGATGGGCCCAAAATGTTCTTCCTAACCCCTGGTCTTCCTGAGCTCCCAGCTAATAGACACATAGGCCAGAAGGGACCAACATGATCATCTAGTTTGACTTCCTGCATTTTGGAGGCCACAGAACCTCGCCCACCTATTCCTGTAATAGACCCATGACCTCTGAAGTCCTCAGATCATGATCTAAAGACTTCAGGTTACAGAGATTCCACCATTGCCACTAGTTCAAACCTGTATGTGACCCGTGACCCCTGCTGCAGAGGAAAGCAAAAAAAACCCACCCTGGGGTCTCTGCCAGTGTGAGGCAGGGTCTCTGCCAAATTCCTTCCTGACCCCAAATATGGTGGTCAGTTGGACCCTGAGTATTTCGGAAAGACCCAACAGCCAGACATCAGGAAAGAATTCTCTGTAGTAACTCAGAGCCCTCCCCACCTAATGTCCCATCGCCAGCCACTGGGGATATTTGCTCCTACCATTCACAGATTGGCTACATGCCATTGTGGGCAGTCTGATCATACCAGCCCCTCCATAAACTTATCAAGCTCAGTCTTGAAGCCAGGTAGGTTTTTTGCCCCCATTGCTCCCATTGGATCTTCACTCCTCTGATAGTTAGAAATCTTTGTCTAATTTCAAGCCTAAACTTATTGATGGCCATCTTTCTTTCAGGGACTAAGCTTGCCCATGGCCTGGTCCATAGTGTATGCTTGCTGTCTTCCCTCAGCAGCTGCTTCCTCCTTCTCCTCCTCTCTTTTCCTTTCTCCCTCTCTAGCTGTAAACCCATCTCTCCCTCCTCTTTCCCTTGTTTCCCATCCATCCCAGAAACATCCCTGTCCCTCAGGTGCCCTCACAATGAGAGTTTCCTCACGTTCCCCCAGACATCCACATGCACCATGTCTCTCCTCCTGTACATGCTTCACAATGTATCACTCCTCTAGATACTGATAGGTATGGTAGGCGTTCTTCAAAGGCCACTTCAGAAATCATCATTCACCACAGCTCCACTCCAAACTGAATTAACAAATTTGTAACTTATTACTTACAGTTCAGACCAATGAATAAACTCCGGTACTGATCAGCTGGCTGTGCCCTCTGTTCTTTTATAATTTTGACAGATAATATTTTGTTTTAAAACTTTTAAAAGTTTTATTGATTTTACATTTTCATATTTGTGCAAAATGTTGGGGTTTAAGCATTTTTTTATTTTTATTGATTTAAATTTGCACCGTTGCAGGAAATCATGGTGGACTCCTAGAATAGGGGGTTTCACAGTAATTATTTAATGACTGTAGATGCTGATATTCAAAAAACACAAATTGTCAACATCACGTAAAAATATACAAAGTAAATCCCCTTAAATCAAACTGTCATTCTCAAGCAGCATTTTTCTTACTTTGCCAGTCTGTAGATCATGATTTTTGTTGATGGAAATATTCTTTCATCGGTTTACATGTGTACAGTGAAATCAGTGTTTACCGAGAAAAATCTAATCCTTCCAATCCAGGAGTTTGGTTTCTCTTTAAAATTGCTCATGCTTGTAAAACCAACGAAGAAACTCACATTTGGGATAAGAGTAGAAAAGGCAGAGCAAAGTCTGGAACTGGTGCTGACAAAATATATTGAATGGAGAAGGTGGTGGGAAATGTCACTATCCACACTGGCAAAACCCAGCATTGTGGGGGATTCTGCATTGATGCATTTAGATTATTGGGCCATCGACATCACATTGTGTGGGGAGCAGGGAGGGGGAGCAAGAGGAACTCCTGAGAAGTGGGGAGCGCGCCAGGCTGTTAAGGGACACCTCAGTGCTCCCCCACACCCTCGGTGGCTTCACTCGGTATGGTGATGCACTCCTGCCCACCATAGTGCCCGGACCCTGTCCCAACCCGCTGGAAGGTGGGACTGGACTGCCAGGGAGTTCAACCTGCTCCCTGGCAGCCAACTGATCCCATGCACTGCTGCGGCCGCTCCAGCCCTTCCACCAGCTCCCGTTCCTCTCTTGCCTCAGTGTGAACAGCGGGGACAGAAAACTTTGGGGGGGGGGTTGAAAACATATATTCCCCCCTCCCCGTTATTTCCATTCGCCAGACACTAATGCCCACTCCCAACCCACAGTTCCACGCCCCGTGAAAATCCACCCTACTATCTTCAGTAAGCACTTGTGATTTAGGAGAAAGTTTTAGTCTAAGACACAGTTGTGAGTTCAGTTCTCCACAATTGGAAGTGGTTCCACAATTAGGCACAGTTGGGAGTCAGTGGAATTACAGGTGTGAAATCGGTGTGGTGGAAGTAGAATCAATCCCTGCGTGTAGGCATAGGTGCTGACTCTGTGGGTGCTCCAGGGCTGGAGCACCCATGGGGAAAAATTGGTGGGTGCTCTGCACCCACCAGCAGCCAAGCTCTCCGCACCTCCCAGCTCACCTCCGCCTCCTCCCCTGAGCGCACCGCATCCCCCGCTTCTCCTCCCAGGCTTGTTGCCGCGAAACAGCTGTTTTGCCGCGTAACAAGCTGTGGGAGGGAGGGGGAAGGAGCGGGATCGCAGCACGCTCAGGGGAGGAGGTGGGGAAGAGGTGGGGATTTGGGGAAGGGGTCCAGTAGGGGCAGGGAGGGGGCAGAGTTGGGGCAGGGACTTTGGGGAAGGAGTTGGAATGGGGGCGGGGCAGGGATGGAGTTGGAGCAGGGCCGTGGGTGGGTGGGGGGGGCGCGAGCACCCACCAGTGCTAGGAGAGGTTGGCGCTTGTGTGTGTAGGAAATGATGCTCTCCTGCAACATAATTCTAGGATTGTTCAAAAGAACTGCTCTGAAAGAGACCATCAGGTTCAGGATGCAAAGTCATAATGCTTCCTATGCTTTCTAATTTGGAAAGGGCATAGAGAGCCCTTCACCTCTACTTACTGCTTCAACTGCAGTCCAGACTGTTAATGGCTGAAAATTATCATAGGATGGATGTTTAGTGAAATGACTTGGTGGGACTTAGCGCGTTTCCTTGTGTACAATAACCTACGTCATAAAAACTCTCACTACATACTTAACATGTACCCTGAAAGTTATCATGTACTGTGTATGTTCTGCTCTGCTTCCTCCATCTCAACCGTGGAAACGCTGCACTCTGGCCTTGTGTCTCTTCATTCACACCAGAGACATCATTCCTTTTCCCCCTCCACTTTCTTCTTTTCCCTGCTGTGGCTGTGGGGAAAGCGAACACAGGTTAAAACATGGAAGGAGCAGTCTGGTAGGGGAGGGATTATAAGGCAGTAGAAACAAGGTATGCTTTAATAACCGGCTGCCTCTTTTTCTCTCTCTCTCTTGCAGTTGTTGCAATCTCAGGATGTGAAAGAAGACGCTGTCCTTTGCTGTTCCATGGAGGTATGAATGGGCTGTTGGGACCTCAGATATTCTGAGCCAAATTCCCCACAGCTTTGCTCCATGTGTCATTGTTCACACCTGTACCAAATGGTTGTAAAATCAGTATGGTGGTGTTTTCAGCCCCCTCCCACCCCTTTGCACTTGTTCTGCTCAGAGGTAAATGGTGACAGGAGGGCAAGCAGTGGAGAATCAGGCCCTCTTTTCTATATTTATTCTTTTAACTTGTTTGTTTATTTGAGGGACATTGCAACCAAAACTGGAAGCTCTCAAGAGGGACCACAATTTCAGTCCTGCAGCCTTGTACTGCGTATAACCCAAGCCAAGGTGTGAAACCAAGCTCCTGACCACCTATAATCATCAAGAATCCCACAACTCCTTTTCTGTGACAAGGGTATTCCCATCATGAATGTGTCTGTTTCATTATGTCTGAATATAGCAAACTACATCCTGCAGCTTTATTGCTTTGTGTTGTGGTCCCATCACAAGCTATGTATAGTCAAGGCAGACCAATATGAGGTGGGGAATATCTGAAATAACACTGGTGATTCAACATGAGTCAGTACTGAGCAAATGCCTGGCATGGTGTGTGCTGGCTCTGAGCTCCTGGAAGGGCCATTATACAAGTGAAATGTTAAGTTAATGTCCTAACCACTTAATTACCACAAGGGTGAAGTATTGAGTTCCTGTTTGAAGCACACATCAAATTGGGTCAGGGGACCCCGATATAACCCAGTTGTTCCCTGTCTCACTTCCAGTGCAATTCCTATCTCTCATCTAAACAGGACTTTTCCAGGGCTCGGTAACCAGGCTAAAGCTTTGGACATGGTTACAAAATCCATTTAAGGTCCCATCTACTGCACACAGTGGAATCTTGCTAGAATTTGGTCCCCCGTCCGAGATGTTAAAATGTCTTAAGATAGGGCTACAACGGTTTCCCCCAAGCTCCTACATGACACAGGACACTTTCTGCTCAAAGAGTGACATTCCTCCAACTACCCTGTTTTATTTTTAATTGCTGAGGATTTTCTTCCCCTTTCCCTCCTCCATAGTTCTTCCCTCCTTGCACGCTGCTTCTGCTTTCCCCCTGGCTGACCACCCTTATGATAGGCCTGCACCACCCTCAATGCGATGTTCTGATTGGCAGTCATCAGTTCAGTCTGGAGCGTCTCATGAGCCCCTAGAGATGAGCCATCACCTTAGGTATATACACTGCACGCTCAGTCTCAACCAAGCCTGGGGCCCAGAATCCTAAATATGAGTCCCATCACTATGCACACAGTGCCATGCTACCCGACTGACTTTATATTTTATATTCCACTTTAAAAAAGCCTATGTTAAAAAGAACATCAAGATTGCAAAGTCAAGCATTCAGAAGTTAGGATATGCCCGAATGAAGGTTGCCTGTGCCCTTTATATGTTCAAAGCACAGCTTCCATTGACTTCAGTTGCATCTGTGAGTGCTCAGCACTTCGTCAAGCCAGACCCCAGCATCTCAAGCCAGGCACCCAGAAAACGAGAATACATCATTAGTGACCACTTGTGGAAAGTTCGGTTTAAGTGACTTGCTCGGAATCATGTAGGGATTCTTTGTGGCAGAGGCACAGATAAAATCGACTTCTCCAGAGCAGCATTCAACTGCCTTAAGCGTGGGACCCTCCTTTGTCTTCTGTAATCCCCTGCCTTCTTCACTACACACCCACACCTTCCAACCTCTGCAACAGATGAGCCAGGGATCCTACAGATAACAGCCTCCTTCACGACCCAAACCTGATGCAACCCCAGAGCATCTCCTTCCTGTGCATTGAATGAGACAGGGGCCCTGTGGGAAAAAATAGTATGTGATCATGTAAGTAAAGACTGCCTCGTGGTCATCGGGCAGAAACACAAGGGGGCTGAATAAAGTTGCATCGACTACCTTAATTCTGACATTTCCTAACGTATGAGTGCTTGACTTTGTAATATTAATGTTCTTTTAATGAATTTTTGTGTGTAATTTCCTAGGTTTAAAAAAAAACTAAGTGAAAACATTGAAATTCCATCATGTGGCATCATATTGAAACCCACATGGGTCATCAGCATAGTTGGAACCTTTATTCATATTTATTATTTGTATTTACTGTAGCACCCGGGCACCCTAGTCATGGACCAGGGCCGCACTGCCCTGGGTAGGTGCTGCCCACAGAACAAAAAGACTGTCCTAGATCCACCACACAGGCCTCTGCCACTTGAGCTAATGGAGTAACGGATAGCAATAGTAGGTTGTCATCCTCTGTGTGGACCAGCACTAGAGCAGGGGTGAAACACTTTGCCGGTAGATTTCACAGATATTTTATGACAGCAGCGAAATGGTGAGAATCAGAAATCATGAGTTCCATTCCAGGCTCGAAAGGGATCTGAGCTGTAGTGAGCACAGATTCTTCTGCTTGTTCCCCCTGTCACTTTCACCTCCAGTCCTGGGAATTCTGGCTCTTCATCTGATCTGTCTCTCTTCCCTGACAGCCTCCAGCTGCCCGCCATCCAGCCTATGTGTTCCCCATCTCCACAGGTTCCCAGTCCCTGCCTCCTTTTCTGGACTTCTTGTCAAGCTTTTGTCCCCATCCCATTTCCCTCCCTTTCCCCTCCAGTTCCTTGTCCCAATCTCTTTGTAGACAGTCCCATTCTCCACTGCACCCTGGCTTCTTGTCAAATTTGTCTCCCCTCCACACCCCTTTCAGTCGCAGAATGTTCAGTAGTATATTTTGTTTAAAAAAAAATGTGGGAGGCTTAGGAATACATGGCCTCACTACAGGACCTAGTGAGTAACACTGAGAAGAGGGGAGATGGCCAGTTATTTGTGCAAGAATAGAGAATCATAGAAATGTAGGGCTGGAAGGGACCTCGGGAAGTGATGGTGAAGCCTCTTCCGGAGCTTAACTTATAGTTAGAAAGTGAGTATCTAACCTAAATCTCTGTTGCTGCAGATTAAACCCATTACTTCTTGTCCTACCTCCAGTGCACATGGAGAATGACTGATCACAGTGATCTTTGTACCAGTCTTTAACATATTTGAAGACTGTTACCAGGTACCCCTCAGTTGTCTTCTCTCAGGACTAAACATGACCAATATTTTTAATCTTCCCACGTAGATCAGCTTTTCTTTAAAAGTTTTATCATATTTGTTGCCCTCCTCTGGACTCGCTCCAGTTGGTCCACATCTTTCCTAAGTGTTGCGCCCAGAATTGGACACAGCGCTCCAGGTGAGACTCACCAGTGCCAAGTAGAGTGTGATAGTTACCTCCTGTGTCTTACGTGCAACACTTCTGTTAATACACCGCAGAATGATATTAGCCTTTATCCCGTCACATTGTTGTCTCATATTCAATCTGTGATCCATTATCGCCTCCAGACCCTTTCAGCAGTACTACCACCTAGCCAATTAGTCCCCGTTTTGTAGTTGTGCGCTTGATTTTTCCTTCCTCAGTGAAGTACTCTGCACTTGTCTCTATTGAATTTCATCTTACTGATTTCAGACCAATTCTCCAATTTGTCAAGGTAGTTTTGTGTTCTAATCCTACCCTCCAAAGTGCTTGCAACCCCTTCCATTTTGGTATCTTCTACAGATTTTATAAGCATGCTCTCCACTCCATTATTCAAGTCATTAATGAAAATATTGAATACTATCAGATCCAGGACTGACCCCTCTGGGACCCCACTAAATGTACCCTGCCTTCCCAGTTTGACAGTGAACTATAGATAACTCCTCTTTGAGTACAGTTTTTCAACCAGTTGGGAACCCCCTTATACTAATTTCATCTAGATCGTATTTCCTTAGTTTACTTATGAGAGTGTCATGTGGAACTGTATCAAAAACCTTACTAAAACCAAGATATATCACATCTGCTGCCCCCCTCCCCCCATCTACTAGGACAGTAACCCTGTCAAAGAAGGCAATTAGGTTGGTTTGGCATGATTTATCCTATTATCCCCTAGGTACTTACAAATTGATTGTTTAACAATTTATTTCAGTATCTTTCCAGGTATCAAAGTTAGGTTGACTGGTTTACAATTCCCTGGGTCCTCTTTGTTCCCCTTTTAAAAGACAGATACCATGTTTGCCCTTCTCCTGTCCTCAGAGACCTTGCCTATCCTCTATGAGTGCTCAAAGGTAATTGCTAATGTTCTGCGATTGCTTTAGCTAGTTCCTTAAGGCCCTTGGATGAATTTCATCAGGCCCTGCCGACTTGAATACATCTAATTTACCTAAATATACTTTAACCTGTTCTTTCCCTATTTTAGCATATATTCCTTCCTCCTTGTTGTTAATATTAATTGTGTTGAGTATCTGGTCACCATTTTAGTGAAGACTTAAGCAAAGACTTTGTGAAGACTTTTTAGTGAAGACTTAAGCAAACTAGGTATTAAACTCCTCAGCCTTCTTGATGTCATCAGTTATTAGCTCTCCTTCCTTGCTAAGTAGAGAACCTACACTTTCCTTCATCTTTCTTTTGCTCCTAATGTATTTAAAGAACCTCTTCTTTTTGCCTTTTATGTCTCTTGTTGGTGTAACTCATTTTGTGCCTTAGGGTATGTCTACACTATGAAATTAGGTCGAATTTATAGAAGTCGTTTTTTTAGAAATCGGTTTTATATATTCGAGTGTGTGTGTCCCCACAGAAAATGTTCTAAGTGCATTAAGTGCATTAACTCGGCGGAGTGCTTCCACAGTACCGAGGCTAGAGTCGACTTCCGGAGTGTTGCACTGTGGGTAGCTATCCCACAGTCTCCGCTGCCCCTTGGAATTCTGGGTTGAGATCTCAATGCCTGATGGGTCTAAAACATTGTCGCGGGTGGTTCTGGGTACATATCGTCAGGCCCCCTTCCCTCCCTCCCTCCGTGAAAGCAAGGCAGACAATCATTTCGCGCCTTTTTTCCTGAGTTACCTGTGCAGACGCCATACCACGGCAAGCATGGAGCCCGCTCAGCTCACTGTCACCGTATGTCTCCTGGGTGCTGGCAGACGCGGTACTGCATTGCTACACAGCAGCAGCAACCCATTGCCTTGTGGCAGCAGACGGTGCAATAGGACTGGTAGCCGTCATCGTCATGTCCGAGGTGCTCCTGGTCGCCTCTGTGAGGTCGATCAGGAGCACCTGGGCAGACATGGGTGCAGGGACTAAATTTGGAGTGACTTGATCAGGTCATTCTCTTTAGTCCTGCAGTCAGTCCTATTAAACCATCTTATGGTGAGCAGGCAGGTGATACGGATTGCTAGCAGTCCTATTGCATCATCTTCTGCCGGGCAGGCAAGAGATGAGGATGGCTAGCAGTCCTATTGTACCATCTTCTGCCGAGCAGCCATGAGATGTGGATGGCATGCAGTCCTTCTGCACCGTCTGCTGCCAGCCAAAGATGTAAAAGATAGATGGAGTGGATCAAAACAAGAAATAGACCAGATTTGTTTTGTACTCATTTGCAAACCCCCCCCTCTCCCACCCCCCGTCTAGGGGACTCATTCCTCTAGGTCACACTGCAGTCACTCACAGAGAAGGTGCAGCGAGGTAAATCTAGCCATGTATCAATCAGAGGCCAGACTAACCTCCTTGTTCCAATAAGAACAATAACTTAGGTGCACCATTTCTTATTGTAACCCTCCGTGAAGTCCTGCTTGAAATACTCTTTGATGTAAAGTCACCCCCTTTGTTGATTTTAACTTCCTATAAGCCAACCCTGTAAGCCGTGTCGTCAGTCGCCCCTCCCTGCGTCAGAGCAACGGCAAACAATCGTGCATCTGAGTTGAGAGTGCTGTCCAGAGCAGTCACAATGGAGCACTCTGGGATAGCTCCCGGAGGCCAATACCGTCAAATTGTGTCCACAGTACCCCAAATTCAACCCGGCAAGGCCGATTTAAGTGCTAATCCACTTGTCAGGGGTGGAGTAAGGAAATCGATTTTAAGAGCCCTTTAAGTCGAAATAAAGGGCTTCATCGTGTGGACGGGTGCAGGTTTACATCGATTTAACGCTGCTAAATTCGACCTAAAGTCATAGTGTAGACCAGGGCTTAGTCTTTCTGATTTTGTCCCTACATGCTTGTGCTAATCTTTTGTAGTCATCCTGAGCAATTCATCCATATTTCCAGGGACATTTTATTTACCCCTTCCCAAAACACAAGAACTAGGGCTCACCTAATGAAAATTAATAGACAGCAGGTTTAAAAAAAAAAAACAAAAAAAAAGAAAATACTTCTTCACAGAACTCACAGTCAACCTGTGGAACTCATTGCCATGGGATGTTGTGAAGGCCAAGAGTATAACTGGGTTCAAAAAAGAATAAGTTCCTGGAGGATAGGTCCATCAGGGATATAAGATAGTCAGGGATGCAACCTCATGCTCCAACTGCCAGAAGCTGGGACTGGATGGCAGAGGACGGATCACTGGAAATTGCCCTGTTCTGTTCGTTCCCTCTGAAGCTTCTGGCACTGGCCACTGTCAGAAGACAGGATACTGGGCAAGGTGGACTATTGGTCTGACCTACTATAGCTGTTCTTTTGTTCTTGTGAGTTGTTATTGTTGCTGTTAAAGCACAATCCTGCTTCCTTTAAGACAAAACAAGGTGAACACACACAAAAAGAGGAGCAAAAAGTACAGCAAAGATAGAAACTTCATCTTTCACTTGCAGCCCTGCTGCTGGAAAAGCACAAGAAGAGCACAAAGTCTTAGCAGCCACTCTGAGCAAACTTGTACCAGCATCGGATGTTTTTGGCATTGCATTTAGCTGCCTTTCTGGTCACAGACTTACAGCAGCATTGCAAAATATGCAAGCTTGGCCAGCTAAACTAGGCTCTTATTAGACAAAAGGAAAAAGGAGAGAGAGGAAAGAGAATGATTAAGGTAGGTAAGGAAAAGGATACTATGTGTGGGGGACAAAGTTTCACATTCCAGGTGGTGGTTGGGATCTGAAGCTGATGGAGGTAACAATGTCATCATCTTGTCTCCCTCTTTCTGGCCCAGTCTGGTCAGGACATCTTTCAGGGGTAGGATGAAAAAGGTCCTGTGGATCCCAGGAGACGATGGGGGTAGCAGCCATATTGATAAACCTCGCTCTTTCCTCTTCTCTCATCTTTCAGTCAGCCAGCGTCATGGTAGCCAGCTTTTTCTCCCGAAAGTCTCTTTTGGAGGACCCAAAAAGGCGAGTCTTGAATGGAATAACCCACCCCCCTCCTTATTTTGTCCACCAATTAGGCCTAATTTCTGACACACCAATTTTGGTTCATTAATTGACGGTGGCACACTTTTCTTGTTTGCCAGGCATGATGCTGAGTTATATCAGTAGGGCCTTTTTATCTGGACTAATTCAGTCTTTGTATCTCTTTTGCATCTTTTCCCATCAACATTTATTGTCATAGGTTATTGCGACACTTTATAAACTTTCTTACAGTTGAGCTCATAATAAGGGTAAATTTGTAGGCCCAGTTATCACAATGTACCTATGTCACATTTGCACCCATAGCCAGGTAGTTCAGCCTCCAAGATCTCAAGATTTGCACTTGTATCTCAGTTGCAGATGCTAAATGCAGGTGAGGACTTCGTCTCCAGAAAGGATGGCTGCACTTTTGGAAATCAGCCCTATTATGTAAATATTTTCTCCTTATAACTGAATGCTGTTCAGTGTAGCTTCCAGAAGCCCTTGAGTTGTTACATGACAGCAAAGAGCAGACCATCTGTGGCTCTTCCGCCATTGTTTCTCTGCAGCCGACATCACTTTTTCAGAGGTGCCATATGCCTGCATCCAGCTCTCCACTTTCCTCCTCCTCTAATATTTTACAAGCACATGTGCCAGGAGGATAGTTTTCCAGGAGAGTCTCCACAAAGTGAGGGATTTTGATAGCAATGCTGTGGTTAACTGAGCTTTATATTTCCCTGGGACCCCCCACCACCCCACATGACAAGTCCAAGCTGACATCTTAGTTGCAACCAGGATAGTTTTAAAACTAAACAATAATAAAGGCTGGAGTGGTGACTTGCACTTTAACATGCAGCTTTCGACCCTTCTCTCTTGACAGCTGCAAAGCACAGGCCGGCTGCTGGAGGACCAGCTGCCTGAGATGATGACAGAGCTGCTGGCAATAGCACGTGACAAGATGCTGTGCCCCTCGGAGTCCATGCTGACACGGTCCCTCCTCCTCGAGGTCATTGAGTTGCACGCCAACAACTGGAACCCCCTGACGCCCACCATCACACAGTACTACAACAAGACAATCCAGAAACTGACAGCCTGAGAACGCGGGGAGGTGGGGATGGATGGGAGCAGGAAGAAGACATGCACCTTAAAAGGAAACAGGAAGGAACTGTGCTACAAATTGATCAGCTACTGGAGAGAGAAGTGAGAACCTTTATGAGAAAATACCTAAGAAGACAAACCCCAGCATGCTTAAGAATATGTTCATGAGGTTGGAGGGCAGAGGAGCATGTTTCTTTTCAGCTGTGTTGCGGAGCACCACCCCTCTTTCCTGCTGAGTTTTTGTTTCAGGTTTCTTTTATTAAATCATTGCTCATGCAGCCACGCATCCCGCCGTGTTATTGTTTGGCTTTAGAAAGAACACGGAGAATTTGAAAAGCAAGTGGAAGTGCAGTCTAGCATTGTTTCCACGCCATTCTCTTGGCTTGCACCAGCCAACTGGCAGGAGACAACACACAGCAGATGTCTTGGGAAGACAAAGAAAGACACGTTCCACACCAGACGCCGGTAATTGACGGCTTTTGTCAAAGCGAAGCTTTCATTATTTTTTTTCCCCCTCCTCTTGTCTTCAACTTTTTATTCTCCCCCCCCTCCGCAAAATCCCCCCCAACACCTGATTCTAGATTAGGATTTCACACAAGATGATTTATTTATTTGCACTGGGTTTCCATTTTTCTTTGTTGTTGTTTTATTAGGTTTTTTTAAACAGACATTTGCTATCAACTTTGAAACATGAAAATAATGTTATAATGTGAGCTCTTGAATGGTTGGCACAAGGGTGTTAAATTGGAAGGAGAAGTTAAAAAAATCCAAAAGCCACTTTAGAAGTATCATAGCCACAGTCTTCTTGCCAGTAACCTATCAAGGTAATTAAAAAATGTACACTCTGAGTTGGTAACTCTAAGAAACACAGGCATTCTGCAGCTGTTTGCTGTTAAAGTCGCAGTATTCCTCATCCACTAAACTATAATCCATTTATTTTTTGTAACTTACTTTGTTTGTTTAAAGAGTGCTTTATTGTAATTACTGTCACAGTTGTAATTATACATTTAAACCAGGTCCCTTATGCTTGGTCCTAATAATAGACAGGGTGAGGGAAAAAATTAAGACTTGAAGTTCTTCTTTGGAAACCAGTAAATAGAAGGTGACAAGTATATGGCATCAGAAAGGAAAAAAGAAAAGCCGAAAATATAGGTTTCAGGTTTGGCTTCTAATTAGCTAAACTTTCCAAACCAGTGTCTCTCGGTTTGCATTGCATAGACGTGGAATTCAGAAGGAGGCTGTCCCCGTCTTTTGCTTTGCCAGAAGCGTAGTCTGTTTAGTCAGTGTAACTAATACAGCCTTTGATAGGAGGAGGGTCAGAGAGCGTTGTTTCTTTCCACTAAATGAAGTGTAAAGAGGAGAGCAATGCAAATGGCTAGAGATGGAGTAGAGGTTGTACAAGAAGGAAGCCACAGTGCACCTCACTAGCCTCACCTGTGTAACCCACTGGTGAGTGTGTGTTACAGTTCTCCCTCTGTGTCCAATTCACAGAGGATATGAGTCTGTTACAGCCCCAGCTAGGGACTTCAGCTCGAACTGTAGCAGCTCATGCTTTTAGCTCTGGCGATCTCTGATTCAATCCCTGGTGGGTCAGACAAGATGGCAGCTGTCATGGAGTGGAAGCTTGTCTGGAATTCAAACTGCTGTGGGCCTCAGACACTGAGGATGAGCTTCCTTGGATCCGAGGAAGGATGTAACTCACTGGTCAGCGTGTATTACAGGTCCCCCACCTCCATGCTCAGTGCGCAGAGAGTATGAGTCTGTTACAGCCCCAGCTAGAGAGGTTTGATTCTTTAGTGCAAGCTGTCACAGCTCATGCTTTTTGAGCTCTGGAGGTGCCCAGTTCAATCTCCAGTGGGTTGGCAAAGGCGGCAGCCATCACATCTACTTGTCCCACCGTATTTAACACTAGTGCAGTTTCACTGTTGTTAGAAACACTGGGAGCCCTTGTAGAGAGGCTGCTGTCAGCAATTTAAGCACTGTTCTCTAGACCTGATCCAAGCAGGATTAGGTGATACACCTGCTTAAAAACACTAGTGCTCTGTCTAGTTTAGGGTTCCCAACAGTGCTCACACCAGTGAAGCTGAAGTGGTGTTGGCAATGCTGAGAAGTGTTTGCAGAATGCCCCTAGGGCAGATCAGTCTAGCATGAGAAGTGAGGCCAATGACTTGACTTGGTTAGGGAAGAAGGTGAGCTGTAAGTGTGCGATGTGCATTTAGACTGAGATGGATCCATGTCAGTCGTAAAACAAGTATTAGTTTTCAAGCACATGCAAGTTTGGCAGAGAAACCGCAGCTTCTAAGCATATGGTACATTTATTTTTTAAAGTATCTATTCTGTAGCAAGTCTGTAATTCCTAAGAAGAGCGAGCTGCCCACCAAACCCTTCCTTCAGGGCCTGTCCCACAGGACAGCATGGCTTTAATTCCCAATGATGCCAGCGGGACTTGTGGGTGCTCAGCAACTTGCAGGTTTAGGGCTTTAATGTATATTATAAGGCGAGAGATTGATGTAAACACAATATTTATCATTTGGGGTCTGAGTAACATTAACCAGATTTATGGATCCTGTTGACTAACTTCAGTTTCTTTTTTGGAAAAGGAGATCTGTTCCAGCCCCGTATTTGAAACATGCTTTGAAGTTACTTATTTCAGTAACTTTGTATTGGTAAAGAGGGACAGGCAGGCCATTACTTCACTTCCTGTATGGTGACCAGGAAATGATGTTGTGGCTTAGTGGTTGCTTCTTTATTGATGCTTTTATTTACTACATCACTTCTGGTGCTTACTTGATGAAGTCTAACAGAATTAGGGAGTGAAAATTTTCCTTTATTTGTTCAGCACTTATTACAGTGGAAGATTAGAGAAGGAAGCTACAGTACATAACCCTCCCTCCAGGCACCTGTGAGCTGAGCATAGCTGCCAATGTTGGGTGGATCTGACCGTTAAGATTCATATATAATATCTGTCTTATTTCATTATTTCATTGTTGTAACAGGTCTCAGAAACTCACTTGGAAAATCTGTTTTGGTGTTTCTAACACTCACAAGCTGTTTTCCAAAAGGCAGTCTTCACTTTTCTCCTGTTACTCAGTTTTCTTCCCTTTCCTCTGGTTGTAAGAAGTATGGATTTGGCAAACCCACCTCTGGTGCCATGAAACTGGAGTGTAGCTCCTGATGAAACATGAGACCCAAACACAAACCCCCAGATCCAAATACCCACTGACCGTGAGGCAATACAGATCTGGATTTGAACTCCACAACTTGGACCAGTTGATTGAATTTCTGCCTGTTTGTTCACGAGAACAAAGATTCAATCCAGATCTTTTTTGGATGTTCAGTATGTTTTATGGCGGTGTAAGAGAAAACCAGATTTGTCCGTTACTCGGGGGGAAATTATTTGCAGGAAGCCAAGTTTGAGGGCAAAAATTTCCAACAGAGAAAATACCACAAGAGGAGAGGAGATTTGTTTTATGGTTCACAGTTATTCGAAACTTCTCTGCTTGGGTCTTTTCTAAGGTGCATACAAAGCGAGGAAAACAGCAGGAAACAGAATCCTCAACAGCAGCGTGTCCAAGAAAGAAAGAGAAGACCTTGATTCAGCTGTAAAAAATTGCCTATTGCACTGGACTTCTCTGGAAAGACTGATTTCTAAGTTCCAGAAACAGTCTAGGGATGACCAGGGGGTTAGCTCTCCGAAGACTAACTCTTGCAGTACCTCAGCATTAGGTTGTCTGTGAGAAAACTGTGTGACAGTAGGAGCAGCAATATTTTATAGTGACTATCCATGAGAGATTGGACTTTATAGGAGCAACAAAGCCCAGCAGTGTTATAAAAGGTTCAGGGTTGTAGCCTTTGAATCTAAACCCTCCTTAAGTTGTTTGCCCTCTGATGCCTTGCCCCTTGGGATGTGAAAGGAGCAGCTGCTTCAGGCTGGATTCAGTGCCGTCTCACAGAATTGTTATGAACACTTACCAACCTGAACACAAAATCTACTCACCCTCTTTTCAAGGTGATGCTAAAGATGGAAAACAAAAATGTTCAAGGTTGATCTAATGTGATATGTGGGTTATCCACAGTAGATTATTTGATTGCTTTAGAACGTCCACAGCCAATCAGAATAATTATTTAAAAGCAGCTTAATATATCCACTTGCTGCTGCTCCTTTTTCAGACTTGAACAAAGAATTTGAAAGTGATTTTTTTGTTTTATTTTGTGTTTTTAAAAGAAAAACAACCCCTAAAATACAGGCACAAGTCCTAACGGGAAATGTACAAATGATCAAGTTGAGCCCTCCAATAACCACGATCTTCAGCTCCTGTTCCCAGCCCTCCCACTGTACATGCCAGCTTTTGTGGCGCCTGTCTTTCGGCCGGTATAATCTGCAACATTTCCAAATTGACCTCTGAATGTAGCAAAGGAAGGAGAAAAAGAAGAACCCAGAGGAGAATTGGAAATTGCATTTCTAAGACTTGAATTTTCACCTAATCACTGGGAATTTTCTTGGAGTACCAAGAGGCAAAGCCAAGCCACATGACAGTAATTCTGTTCAAATGCTTCCCCACCGCCAGCCAGGAGGGTTTATTCATAGTTTTCCTTTACTAGAGGTTGCCTTCTAGCTGCAGGCCTGTACCCAGATATTCAGGGTTAATGGATTTGGCCTGTTACTTTGCTCTGTAGCCCTGAGATTCCCCCAAGCCTTTTTTGGACAGTGTCTAAGAACGTCTCGTGATGTGAAATCCATCTTTCAATGATTTGTGATTTGTATCTGACAATTAAAGTGTGTTCATTCTGCCATTAACTGCTTTGTAATTTGAAATTTTGATTGTTCCATGGGTACCCGTGAATCTAAATGTTGACTGAAAATGTATTTTTTCCCCTGGATCTATGCACACCACCAATCATATCTTTTGAAAGTCCATTGATAACAATAAACTTTACCTATGACATTGCTACCGCTAAACAGCATTGCTAAGGAATGAAAGAAACAGTACAAAATAGCATTTTTCTCCATCTAAGAGTGGTCACGGATCTGTGTTTCCAGGTTTCTCAATAGCAAGAGACTGTCCAATGTATGAATGTGAAAGTGTCGTGTGAGCACCACCGCTGTATATAACATGCATTCTATAAGATGCTCTGTGGTGGGAAGCCTCCAGCAAAGCAGTGGTGCCAAGATACAACTAGATCCAATATTATAGGTTCATTAGCGATGTCTATAAAACAGCACTGTAAAACCATCTCTGGTTTTAATATTGTCACCAATTCATGGTACAAGTACAAAAATCCAAGTGAGTTTGTTTGTTTTTTTCCATTTTTTGCAACCACCAAAGCCTGTAATTAGTAAGGCCATGTCTACACCAGCACTTATGTCAGCAAACTTGTGTCTCTCAGGACTGTGAAAAACACCCCCCCGTGAGCGACATACGTTTCGCTTGGCATAAGTGGTGGCGTGCACAGCGCTGTCGGTGGGAGAGTTTCTCCTGCCGACATCGCAACCGCCACTCGTTGGAGGTAGTTTAATTATATCCGCAGGAGAGGTCTCTCCCGTGGGCACAGAGCAGCTACATGAGAGATCTTACAACGGCACAGCTGCATCGGGACAGCTGTGCTGCTGTAAGCTCTCTAGTGTAGACACAGCCTTAGTGTGCACTGAGTTACCTTTTGAAGGAACATGAGTTACCATTTATGTTTCTTCATGAGTTATTGGCCAGTTTCAATCTTTGTGTTCTCAATAAACGTAGATTTCAAAAATGGTTCCCTTTAAATTAAATCAGTGGGCCGGGGGGGGAAGTCCAGTTAGATATGTCGGGTCAGATCTTCAGCTGATGTGAATGGGAGTAGCGTCACTGAAGCTATCTCAGTTCACGCCAGCTCAGGATCTGGCCCTTCATCCATAGGTCATTGAATTTGTCCCGTCCTCTGCCCTGAGAAGACATCTCCTCACCTGTGGTTTGAGGATCTAGGTGGAGAAAAGCAGTGATACTGTTGGGAAATCCCTGAGATGAAGTTGCACGGGCAGAGAACATTTTCTCAGTGTTACAGTAACTAAAGTTGCTGAGAGGATGAAGGGGGGGAGGGAGAAGCTCAAATGAAGAACAGATTTGTGGAGTCTTCGACTACAAAGTGGTTAGCCGTCTGCCCAGAATCTATATGGCATGTGATTAGACTGGTTCCTAGTGAAATTATTTCCGAATTGAAGGTTTTAGTTCTCCACAAAATGACTTGTGTGTTTTCCCGTGAGGGATTTCACCACTGTTTGGAGAATACATCATTTATATGAAAGGTGAAACACAAAGAGGGGAGAGTAGTGAAGTAAGTGATATGCCTGGTTCTCCTCTTCCCCCTGAAGGAGATTAATTTGTATCCATTCTTGACGCGATGGATGACTTTGAAAGAAAAATTGTTAGAAGCCCCTATGGTTTCTTTTCGTACACAAGCTTAGCCTTATTAACACCTCTCACTTGAAAGTCTCAAAATCTTAAACTTGATTTTTATTCCCCCTTTGGGTGTTCTGTGGATTTACACTAATTTTGTTCTTTCCACTAAGCTATTATCCCATCCTTTTGTGATCTCCAGGAGAAATAACACTAACGTTTTCCAAGTCCAGTGTCAAAAGCAAAGGGAGATGTGGTTTCCTTCAGAACACAGTCATGCTAACAATGATTTTTTTAAATGTATTTATTGTGTTTGAAAATTTAATCTTTTATCAGATTTGTTAAACTAAGTGCTTTTTTAAAAAAGAGAAAAGGAAAAATGGGGGGCAGGGAAGGAGACTAGATAGTTGTACTAGGGGAGAAAAATACCATCATTTTCAGCTTTTCCTAGACTGTTAAGACAAGGGAGATAACTCTTCATGGCAATTCAGTCTTGTTTATAGAACATCCAGAACCACTGTATGCTATAAAATGAATCATCTGCGTAATAAATGTTTAAAGCCTGACATTTCACCATCTCTCTCTTGATATGTGGTATCAGTTTTGGTGGTCTGCTAAGATGTTTATTTTGTTGAGCTTGGAACTAAGTATGGAAGAAAAAGAATACCTGTCCGGTTAAAAATTTAAAGGAGGGATTCATTCTTCCTTCCTTTATGGTTTGGTACAGCAGGCTGTGCTGCGTGTCTGATCCATTGATCGCCCCTGTCATGTGCTCCTCTCTAAGGGCCCCAATCCTGTGCCATGCGGAGGGCTCAGAATGGAAAATTGAGGGCACCTGCCATTTCACTTGATCGGGCTTTAGAAGGCTGGCTCCTCCTATTAAAGTCATTAGAATTTTGCCATTGGCTTCAATGGGAACAAATTTGGGCCCCGAGAGTCCATGCAATGCCCACTGAAGTCAATGCAAAGACTGCATTTGGCTTCAATGGGCATTGGACCAGGCCCAGTCTTCTGGCTCTGCTACTGATCTGATCCTGTTCCCCACAAAGAAATAGCGCAGGGGCATCCAAAGCTATATCCATTAGATTCTCTTTTCTCCTGCTTCTGTTGAAATTGATAGCATGACTAAATACCTCAGTACAAGGTTTTGTTTTGTTTTGTTACATTGGGGAGACAAGAGGTTTGCACATTTTTGTTGCTGTTGTAAAAGTCTGCATTTTAATATATGCAAAAACTCACTTGCTGAAACTATCATTTTTATTATATTATGGTTTCATCAAAATGGATGACAAATAGTGCAACTATTATGGTGAATTGTGATATTAATCACAGAATAAATATTGAAATCAATGTTTAGAAACTTCCATTGCCTCCTTATTTTGCCACGTTTTGCGGGGCAGGGGCGTTGTTTTTGTTTTTGTAGTATTTGTGTTCCTCACATATTTCATGTCTCAGCTCTACAAAAAAGTAACATCCCCCCTCACACAAAATAATTCAGCACCCGCGGCTTATCCAATACTCAATGAAGATGAAGGCCCAAATCAAGGGCCATTTACATGGAACATCTATATCTCCCATTGGCTTTTATGGGAGTTCCTGGTGCTTCTTTGGGGATCAGGCCTCAAAGTCTTAATTGCTATATCAAGGATCCAGATATTCCCTAGCTGTTGGAAAGTTCCATTTCTGAGCCAAACTTTGCAGCGTGGGCCCAACTCTGCCCTGGAGAGACAGTTGGTTCAAATGTTGTACAAAGCTGACTGTAAGGGTTCTCTCCTGGCCCCATAAGCTACCCCACTTCTGCGCAAGGCAAAACTGTTAATAACATCAACACGGGATAATGCTATATTAGACCTCATCTTCACAGCTAAAAAGGAACTGATCACAGAACTAAAAATTAATGGTGGCTTAGGTACAAGTGAGCATGACTTGATCACACTGATAATGTGCAAACAGAATAAAGTCCAGACCAGTAATATATATACTTGGTGCATTAAAAGGGCCAATTTCACAAAGCTGAAAACAATTATGAGCCACATCAGTTGGGAGGAAGAATTTAATCAGAAAAATGTGAATTGTTTAGGAACACTTTACTAGATGCCCCAAAAGCTATAATTGAGGAAGAAGGGTGTATTGGTTAAAAAACTCACTGGGTTTAGAGGGGAAGTGAAGGCAGTTATAAAAAATTAATGTACATTACATGGGAAAAGGGGAAGTTAATAGTAATTAATATAAATCTGAAGCTAGGAATTGTAGAAAATTTATATGGGAAGCAAAAGACCAAAGGGAGAAATCTATGGCCATCAGAGTTAAGGAAAATAAGAAGGAGGTTTTTTAAGTATGTTAGGAACAAAAAGAATCCTAACCGGTATTGGTCCATTACTAGATGCAAATGGCAGAATTATCAGTAATGATGCAGAAAAGGCAGAAGGCTTGAATACATATTTCAGTTCTGTATTTGAGAACAAAACAGGGGATGTAGTCATAGTATATGATGCTAACACTCTTTCCATTCCAGTAGTATCTCAGGAGGAGTGACTACTAAAGTTAGACATTTTAAAATCATCCAAGAGTTTTAAAAGAGCTGGTTGAAGAGCTCACTTGACCATTAATGTTGATTTTCAATAAGTCTTAGAACACTGGGAAAGTTCCAAAAGGCTGGAAGAAAGTTAATTTTGTCCCAATATTTAAAAAGAGTAAACAAGATGACCTGAATAATTATAGACCTGTTGGTCTGACATCAATCCTGGGTAAGAGAATGAAGCTGCTGATAGGGGGCTCAATTAATAAAGACTTAAAGGAGGGTAATATAATTAATGCCAGTCAACATGGGTTTATGGAAAATAGATCCTGTCAAACTAACTTGATATCGTCTCTTGTGAGATTATAAATTTGGTTGATAAAGGTAATAGCGGTGATACAGTACACTTAGATTTCTGTAAAGCTTTTGAGTTTGTACCTCATTTTGATTAAAAAGATTTTGATTAAAAAAATAAAACAATATCAGATTAATCTGGCACACATTAAATAGATTAAAAACTGGTTAACTGATAGGTTTCAAAATGTAATTGTAAAAAGGGGACTCGCTATCAAGCAGGTGTGTTTCCACTGGGGTCCCACAGTGACCCCAGTTGTTGTTCTAATGCTATTTAACATTTTTATCAGTGACCTGGAAGAAAACATAACATCATCACTGACAAAAATTGGAGATGACACAAAACTTGTAGGAGTGGTAAATAAGGAAGAAGACAGGTCCCTCATACAGAACAATCTAGATCACATGATAAGCTGGTTGCAAGCAAACAATATGCATTTTAATACGAATGAATGTAACTGTATACATCTAGGAACAAGCAATGTAGGCCATACTTACCCGATGGGGGACTCAATCCACCCCCAAATCTTTTTCAGAGTCACTGCTTCTAGGATAATCAGCTGAAGGTGAACTCCCAGTGCAACGCTGTGACCAAAAGAGCTAGTGCGATCCTGGGATGCGTAAATAGGGGAATTTTTAGTAGGAGTAAAGAGGTTATTTTACCTCTGTATTTGGTACTGGTGTGGCTGCTGATGGAATACTGTGTCTAGCTCTGTTGTATACCGTTCAAGAAGGATGTTGATACATTAGAGAGAGTTCAGAGTAGAACCATGAGAATGATTAAAGGATTAGAAAACATGCCTTATAGTGATAGACTCAAAGAGCTGAATCTATTTAGTTTACCAAAGGGAAGGCTAAGGGGTGACTTGATCATAGTTTAAACATGTTTTCCCTGAATGGGAAACAAATATTTAATAATGGGCTCTTCAGTCTAGCAGAAAAATGGATAAGCAATCTAATGGCTGGAAGTTGAAGCAAGACAAATTCAGACTGGAAATGTCTAACAGTGCAGGTAATTAACCGTTGGAACAAGTTATCAAGGGTCATGGTGGATTCTCCATCACTGGCAATTTTTAAATCAAGACTGGATGTTTTGTCTAAAAGATCAGAAAAGGGAAGCTGTGTGGCCTGTGTTATCCAGGAGGGCAGAGATGATCACAATTGAGAACTGCCGACCCAAAGCATCGTTAGTAACATGCACAGAAGACAAGGTATTCAATCCGATTCTGAAGTTATTAAATTCGCACACACACAGAGCAATGCCTCTTTGCCTACCTCAGTTACAGTTGTATTGATTTCTTTCTTTTTTTCCAGGGAAGATCAGTTTAACATGTTCCAGAGATTACTGTGTTTTAACCTTTCACCCTGGTCTAGACACCACTGAGTATCCACTGTCCCTTTTTAATGAGAAAATGGAGCCCCCTGTGGTCTTTCTGGCTGGACAGCGGAGCCAGCAAAATTCCCAGGAACAGATGGTGGGATTTTCTGACTACACTGATACCACCAACCTGGCTCCCTCCAAACTACCCAAGTAAATTATTAAAGATGCAGTTTTCTTTCATCTTTCCAGTAAAATCTATCTTTGCTCTATAATCCTGTGCATTACTGACATTGCAGAGCACAGCACTACGCTCTCCCCTCCTTTGCATAAGGCTGTTACATGCGTGCAGCTAAGCACTGTGCGTGGTGAGACAGGGCGGAGGAGGGAGATGCTACACTATGCAGGGAGGTCTTGAGGGTAGATCAGGGGACTGGGAGTTGGACTCCTGTGGTCACCCTCCCACTGACTTGCTACCTGATGCTGCATTAGCCACGGCCTCTCTGTATCTGAGATTCCCCATTGGCAAAGTGGGGAATAATGCTGGTGGAAGGTATTTTGAGGCTCCGCTAATGTTTGTAAAGTTCTTTAAGACAGGGTTTCTCAACCCAGGGGGCATGACCCAAAACTGAGTCACCAGAATGCATCAAAAGGTCACATGGAAGGCCTAAGGGGTGGGATGGGTGCTGTTCCCAGGGAAGGAAGGAGGCTTAGGGGGGCTTGCAAGTCTCCTCCACATTCACCCCATAGCGGTGGCTCCTATCCCACAGGAGGGTTTGGGCTCAGGTCCCCGCTCTGGGCATTGCGGCCTGGTGCCCAGGGTTGCCGTGCTGCGCAGGTTTAGCCCAGCTACCCCTCCGTCAGGGGTTGGTGGGGGGATGGGGGCTGTCAAAGCAAATGTCAGGGGGTGGTGCAGCAACTCCATGCACTAGGTCACAATATCATTCACACAGATTTTGCCTGTCCACCCGCTGTCAGGGGGGCTAGGCCAAACCTGAGCAGCGCTGGGACCCCAAAGGTCTCAACACCTAGAGCGAGGAGGGGAGCCTAGCTAGCCCCACGGGAGAGGAGCAACGGGAGCTGCCGGCGGAGAGCTGCTGCTTTAAAATTGCCTGATATAAGACAGTAAGCAAGGGGAAATGTGATACTTTGCTGTTGATAATTTGGGACTGTTAGGTGCTCAGACAGAACAGGGACAATGCCCTCTGGCTGGGTGATACCCCCACTATCAGGTTGTTTTTGTTTTTCAGGATTATTTGGTTACTACAGTGAATTTCATGTCTCTTTGTGTGTCCCCCACTCTCACAGTGCCTTCCTGTGCCCTTGTCTACACAAACAAGTTGCACTGGTTTAATTAAAATGGGTTAAAACCATTTGAAGGCTTGTGTAGCTGCAGAATTGCACGAGTCAGGTGGGATTTTATACAGGTGCAAACCCCTACGTGGACACTCCTGTTTCAGTTTAAACGAGGTTTAGTTTAAGTCAATTAGAAACAGGTTTAAGATAAACCAAACTAAGAGTATCCACACAGGTTTAACTAAACCTATTTAAGCAAACTAGTGTAAACAGTATGTAGGCAACCTTAGTTAAACTAGTGAAAGCCCCTGCATAGACACACACATGAGTTATATTTGTTTAGCATGTGCCTTTAAATATACCGATGTAAGATAAACCACTACAAGGCAGGTTTAAATCAAATTAAGACTGTTCCCGCAGGCTTTTCCATTGCTTTTACAAAATCAGTTAAAATCACACTTTTACTTAAACATGTGCAACTTGATGTGTAATCCAGGTCTATGGGCTAAATTAAGCATCTTCTATGGTAGCTGACTCAGTTTAAGCTACGTCCATTTCATGTCCGTTAATATATTGTTCTAGCATTTTATTTACAGACTGAAACTTGTGACTATATCAACTCACTGGTGAGCAAAAAATACTAAATCGGCTTTTATTAACATCTTCATTTCAGTGGATACTGCTGTTAAGAGAGCCCTATTTCTTAAGTCAGAAAAAGATGGACTTCATTTAAATTGAAGTAAGACACACAGTTTGAAATCAGAGTATCCACACACAGACTTGTACTGAAATAATTTATAGAGCTGTAAACTACAACCTATTAGGGCTGGGTCTACATGCCAGGTTTTCTAGCAGTATAAATAT